CTCCTCCTCTTCCTCTTCCTCCTCCACCTCCTCCTCCTCCTCCTCCTCCTCCTCCTCCTCCTTCCGTTTCTCTGAGGTCCTCGCGGTCTACGCTCTTTCTTAATTCAGTCCAATGAGAACTGCTCTTCGATTCGTCACACCCGCCGAACAAATCTCTTTCCATTTATCTGTTTTCCTCTCTCCTTCTCTGTCGCACCATCGTTACGTTTCCGCGAAAGATCGCCGCGAAATTTTGAAAAAGCGACGACGAATACTCTCCACCGCTCGGCGGCGACGCCGATCCCCGATCGAGCGAGCGAGCGAGCGATCGCGATTGCGATTCGCACGACGCAAGTACATCGCGATGCGTCGCAACGCGGTAACGTCGTAAAACCGCGAGAGAGACAACGGGTGGTGCATCCTCCGCGCTGGATGGGACACGCCGTACGCGCCGCCGTCGAGCAGGAAAAGGATCCTCGCGGAAGAGAGACGACGTACGGACTCACTCCGCGAGTTTGTTTTGACGACACGGTTTATTTCACCGTGTACGGTGCGCTTTACGTGCTTGCGCGCGAGAGAGGCGCGAGCGGGCTGCGTCGTAAACACGCTGTGATCTGAAGTGCGCGATTCCCACGCAGAGGAACACGTTTCATTAACGTCGACGAGACGCTGGCGGGGACCGCGCGTGGATCGAATTTTATTTTACGATCGCGAAAAAAATCGTCACCATCGTCCAAGAAGAGAACCACATCTCATCATCGTCTTTCTGCGTGTTACATATATACAGCATCTTATTCTGTGGACCTCAACGTGCCTTCTCTCCGACGTATTTCCTCGGGGAGCACGCAAGAGCGGGCCGGATTCTCGTGGCGTCGATCGGGCGATTGGACGATCCGCTGAAACCGCTGAGAGAAAACGCTCCTTCCTAGAGGATGCCAGGAGGAAGGATTTCTCCTCTTACCGAGGAAACATGTCTCGCAGCGGTCGTCGCAACGCGCGAACCGGTTGCGCGCTCTTAAAATAGTTTCTCACGCGCGTAGGTAACTGGCGCGCACCGTTGTCCCGCCGTTGGAACACGCCGCCGGAGTAGTGCCAGGTAAATATCGATCGACTTTGTCTATCGCCGTTAGATTGATCCCTTCCCCCTTGCCCTCTCCACCTCTCCTATCTCTTCTTCTCCTCTCCTTATTCCCCTGCCTCCTGCCAACGAGAGCGCGCGAGAAAGATCCGCCCGGATCCGCCGCGATCGCGATCGCGCCGGATCGGACCGGCCTCCTCTCCTATAATCATGGAAAATAAATAGCTCACCTCCAATTAAAGAGCCATTCGAAATTTCACCGTCGATCGGACCATGATTCCTCTCGACGAGTTCTTATTATCGGCCGAGAAACTGCAGGGAATTCCTCCTCCTCCTCCTCCTCCTCCTCCTCCTCTTCCTCCCCCTCCTCCTCCTCTTCCGCTCGTCAGAAGAATCGAATTCTCGAAGAGTTTGCTTGTTGACAGAACACGCGAGAGGATGAAAAAAGTTTTGGCGGAACCCAAAGGGAGAACTATTACGGTCACGCTGTCGTAATTTTTGTTTAGTTAAGAGTTTCCCTCTTCATCCTCCCTCTCTCTCTCTCTCTCTCTCTTCGAATTTCGCCGAAACTCTCCGTTTAAAGAGAAGCGAGCTATTTTTGATGATGGGGATGGATTGGTATCGCGGAACAAAGCGCGTCGGTGCGTATGATCGATCTATTTGCAACGCGGCTTTCGCGGAATCGTCGCGGGACCGCCAAGAGTTTCAGAGTCGTCGGAGCGGGATCGACTCAAGTCGCGATTATTTATCAATCTCCGCGATCTATCGAGAGACGCATATCGGCCGGGTGTACTTTTACGAGAACGCGATCGCATCGGCGACGTCGACGAAATTATCCTCAATGGCGATCTATATTCACGGTGATGATCGATCGGTCGCACATTTTTTCATTGCCCCGCTCTCTCAGTTCTCGAGAAAGCCGGGAGAGACGCAAATACATCTGCGCTGTATCTGATCGATCGTGTCACGCGCTTAAGCACATCTTTCCTAGTATCGGAAGGCTATCCGACGTACAGTAATTCGATTAACACCTAAATGCACTGCCGAAACTCCAAGGAGACCGGATAGGCGTCTTCTAAAAAGAGTTTAAGGCAAAAGAAAAAGTATTCTATCGATCGTGACAACGTTTCGATACACAGAATGTCATAAATCAGCGTTCGTACTTCTATTTGCGCCTTAATTAGCACGAAATGCGATTGTTCGATTCTGAGTATCGTTTGAATGAACATTGTTGACATAAAAATACGTTTGCATTCCCTGCAAATAAGATGGTAACAAGAAATGATAATCGAAAGCACTCTAAAGTCGGCGTTAAATATAGAAATAGATAAAGGTTGTATCAACAAATAATTTGTTAAGTATAAGAAGTGTAGATAGATGTTAAAGAGAAAATATATGAGAAGAAGGATAAATGGTAGCGAATAGTGACAACTATACAAGTATTTTATATGCAGAATTAATGTTAATATATATATATATATATATATATATATATATATATAGTTGAATAAAAACACTTTTATAGTTATTTCAATTATGTAATTCTACATATAAATTTGTATAGTTGCCACCTTTATAATTACTACCATTATGTTTTCCTCCTATTAACTTCATATCTTATGTAAAAAAATACGATTGACAGATCTTGTTAAATATTGTAATTAATTCCATTCAAAAAAGAGTTCCTTCCAAGTATATTTTTAATTTTTCTTTTCATTTTCTTTAGGAGAATTATAATTCATTCATTAAATGTGAATCACGATTTCGCTGCTAATCAACAACTTTAATAGTGTATTTAGCATTAAACGTAGTCGTCCCATTCCGATTGCCCCTTGTCCATTATTAAGATGCTATTCGATGTTATCACAGGCTGTGTCGCAGCACTCGCAGCCAAGTTTTAACGCTGACCGCGCGTCGCAAGTGCGAGCTGTTCGATGGCGAGCGTAGCGCCGAGGCTCGAGCTTGTGCGAGCGTGTCTCTCGTGTGCTCGGTAATTCCTGCAATAACCGAAAATAATAATACGGTAGACGACGGTACCGTAAATGGTAGCGATAGCGCAATAACGACGCGATGCCAATTGACAGCGATTCTTCGATAACGCGGATATTAGCGCACGAAGGAGGTCATCACCACATGCAACCAATCGGAAATGGCGGACAAATCGAGTTTCAGCACCCATGCAATCCAATCGATACGATTTCGTTTTAATTAAAATGAATTTTTTTTTTTTTTTTTTTTTTTTTTTAAAAAAATTTTTTTTTTTTTTTTTTTTTTTTTTTTTTTTTTACAGAATTTCCCGAAAAGCGCTAGTCGAAAGAAATGCTATTTCTACTTGCTGCACATCTAGAGATTGAGTCTAAACAATTAAAAATCATGATCGTACATTATACAACTAATCGCGTTAACTATTTTTTATCAAAATATTTCAGACATAGTATTATATGATACAATATTTCCATCTGTGAGTTATTGCATCATAGGATATGTAAAAGACTGATTCTTCTGAGAAATTCAATTCCAGTTCCATCGAAACCACGAGCAATTTTAACCCCTTCCCGAGTGTGATTTGAACGTATTATATGTAAATTGACTTTTTTCATTCGAAACGCAAACACACGTCTCTCCTTCTCAAACGTAGCAGAAATAAAATATAAAATTGAAAAATTATTGCTTTTTACAATAAATTATTTAAAGTGTTTCAAGATGTTTATTATCAATATCATTAAATTACTTGTCAATTTAATTTATGATATTGTTATCTCAAGTTTCAGTTTAGAGTTGTGTTTCAAGACCGTAAATGAAATCGGCATACAATTTACAGAATCAGACATGGATATAAAAATTCATATTAAAATATTATTAATTATAAACGCTAAGACTAGCGTTTTCCACTGAGAAAACTGGTGCTACCACCAGGAGAAAACCAATGCTATGCTAGATTTCGATGAAAACAGCACTAATGCAGTAATAGTGCGGTTCAATGGAACATATCACAAGACATCCAATTTATACTCCGAAAAATATATATACCTACATTCAAACTTAAATTACTTATTTTACAATATTCTGATTCATTTATTTAATACATTTTTTTAAATTAAATTTTTACATTTCAAGAGTTTTAAACGTCAAAATGTCATTGCGTAGCTATTATTAGAAACATTGAAATTAACACACAATGTCATTGTTATTGACATTAATTACAATAATGAAATATCATAGCATAACATAATACCATACCTTAGCACGAACACAATCTCAATTTCAACTTGCACTGGTCTCCACTGACTTAAAAGACGGTGGATAAAAAGTTGAACTCAGTGCGCAAGTTTTCTGCATCAGTTTTATCAATGGAGCATTAAACGTGTGAACTGGTTTTCACCCAGTGGATTAATAAAGTTGCATTCAGTTCTCCCAGTGGAAAACGCTATGAAGCTAAAATAAAATATTTTCCTGTTATCAGTTGAGAGTTATTCACATATCCATTTAATATCACTTTATTGTTACTGAAAGGTAAAGCCAAAATTATTTAAATACATACATCTTGAAAGCTATTTCCCCAAATCTTTACTGTTCTTTTCCTTGTCCGTGTTTATTTCATATTTTATTTATTTAATGTTTTTATTTATTTATTTATTTTTATTTTGTCTCGCGCCCGGTACACGATTGTTTTTCGACGATAGGAAGATTTATTCGCGTAATTAAAGAGTTACACGCTCGCGTACCTGTGGGACCGAGGCGGGCGAGGAGGAGAGGAACGGAGGAGCTTACACTCCAGTAGTAACAGAAAACGATTGGAAAGTCTTCCTCCGTCGTGTGAACGTGGTGTACACGAGCGGACACGTAGGTAGAGATACCAAGCTCGCTGCCGCCTTCTACGAAGGCGATTGGCGTTTGTTATTGAAGTTATTCCATCGCCTCGGGCCACAGAACGAGAGGCGAGGCTGCTGATCGTGAGTGCCAGCAGCAGCAGCGGCAGCACGCCTGTGTCCCTGGATGACAAACATCCACATTTCGCTCGCGAGCTGGAATTTTTATTAAATCCGATTGCGCCCGTCTCCACGTACGCGGTGTCCTGAGTGTACCATGCGCACTCGTTCATTCCACTTTACGTGGCGATCGGCCACTAACGAGAATATATAGAAATTTATTATTTAAGCTTATATAAACAGGAAAAGATTTGGTTTATAATTTCTTCTCTCTCAATCTTACGTATCCATCGATACCTTTACGACTAATGGGTAATTAAAATCTGAGAGATAGCTAAATATTGCTGTTATTTAAACGTAAAGCTATACATTCTTTCCTTATTTTTCGTGCTATAAATGTCAGCCTTTCAAATTAAACACTATTGCACTAATTTACATTAATATCACAATTTATCCAATTATTGCACAATTTTTACACAAAAGTAAAATCCTTATCTTCTTTCCTATTTTCATATCCTCTCTTAATGTACCTCTCTTAATAACTAATTTTCTATACTTCGATTAATAGTCCGTTTTATAACCTTGCCTCTCATTCTTACATAATGTTACATCAAGTATTCCGACTTCCGACAGGTTCCAGTCAAGTAAGTAACAGTTTTGACTTGATCAGAAGACTGCCAAATTATTTATATAGACAATGGTTATAGTTTAATTTTTTTGAACGTGATACTTACAAATATCCCCACTGAGCTTGCAATTATAATAATTAAAAAGTAGATGGAATTTTATTTCAATCAATTGCAAAATTCTAAAGAACGAATTTATAAGGACCGGTCAAATCAGTTTTAGAATAAACTTATTTCACGGACAGAAGTTTGACGGACAGATTTTACAAACAAACCTTTAAGACTTAAATGGGTTGCCCACTATCTACTCACCGGTAATTGCAAATATGATGTTATAGGATTTGGAAAGTAAAGTGCTGAGTTAGTTTAGACTTTTATGTACTGTTTTATTATAGATATGTTGATATCGTTATAGCACTTGCTATCAGTGAGATTAATACAGTTTTAGACCGATTCAACAATT